CCCCCCCCCCCCCCTCCCCCTCAATTTCACCTATTACTACCTACTTACCACTACCCCTAAGCCGTTACAGGGGACACCTGCAAGCATAACTACCTCTCACAATTAAGGGGATGCATGTTGCCCCCTGCCCTAATCGGCACAATTAAGGGGATGCATGTTGTCCCCCACCCTAATTGGAAGTGGTGAGGGAGTAGGGTGGGGCCGCCAGCGCGGGCGGGGGTGGCTAAAGCGAAAGACCAAGCATTTTGCCAGTAGCTGCACCTCCCATCTGTTTCCCCCACGCTCATCGAGTACCAGCAGTGTCTATGGCCAGCACTCTCCCACACACCATACAGTGGCACACACAACCCACACACGCACACACATAGACATCCATGTCGGCCCAAGAGTCAAAGACCCTACCAATACCAAACGGTGGGAGCAAGCCAACTATCTCAGTTGGTTGGCACCAAGAGTGCCGCAAGGCGATAAGTGGGGATTGAAACCACGACCTCCTCGATGCCACTTGCATGCCTAACCAACTGAGCTAGGACACTTGCTCGATGTGCATTTCTTGTTCTACATCAAGTATGCTCTATTTTTTTATTCATGGAGTGAAGTTTAGGAAGTTCACGATGAGGTGGAACAAGTGTGCTAATGTCACAACAGAGTTTTGAATGGGTGAAAAAACATGTGCGGGCAAAAAGAACAGCATCCGAACTCGAGAGGGCAATGAAAACACCGCGCTCGTGACAGAGCCACAGGTGTCATAACTACAGGGGCAGGCCATGGTGTAGACGGAAGAGGGGGTCGCCCGGAAGGGCCAATTGATCTATTTCGACTGAAATTCCCTTTTCGAGTTCAGCAACCGTTTGTTTTGCCCGTGCATGTTTTTTTTGCCTTCACGAACTCAAAACGTGACGCAGCAGCACTTGTTTCTTGTTTCTGTTTCTCCGTTTTGTTTTCAAGGTCCATATGATGCAGAATCTGCAGATCGATGACAACCGTAAACCAAACGACCCAATTGAAGCGAGCAAATGGCATGAACTTTCAGGCAAGGGGTTGAAGGGGGTAATGGCACAAACAATACTTGACTTTAAAATGCAAAAACAAGTGGTGGATGGACTAAATCAATTCCAAAGGAAACACTTGACAAAGCATTGCCTACGAATTGGTGATAAGAATTGGTATGAGATGACACAAAACATTGCACCACCCAAACTGGTGATAAGTTACTGTTTTGACTTAACTGTCCATAACAACACCGAGGACGTTTGATTCTGGAGTGCCACAATAAAATGTCATGACCCAACTTTTCCAAGTTCCAACCAATATAGTCAAAGTTGCGAGGTCCTCGCCAAGCAACGTCTATTGGAATACTGAATGGGGATAGCAAATGTACCCCTTTACACACCACCATGTATGCACAACTTTTCACCTCCTACATCTGATAGATAGATGATCATTACAATTCTATTCCATCTGGGAACATTGCAACACAAGAACTGCATGATGCATTGTACTCTCACCTTCCATACCCCAAACAAAATAGTGTCAGTAGATTGAAAAAATCAAATAACAAAACAAACAACTACCAGACTCATCCTCAAGCACTTGCCTTCAGTTACACATCATGTACACGGGACAGAAGTTGCGAGGCAAAAAACTTGAAAAAAGTGATGAAAAGAGGGAAGGCCCTGCGAAAGGCACATCAAAAGTGGCGATAATTCCACAGAAAGCTAGCGCTTTGCAAGCCATTTAGCCTTGCCCATTCCTCAGGCTTGCTCATGCAGCACCGTCATCTTTGACGTCATCATCGCTGCCCTCGTCATAACCATCATCCCAGGAAATCATCATCATCACCGTCACTGTCATCATCCTCATCCTCATCCTCATCCTCATCATCGTTATCATTATCGTTATCGTTATCGTTATCATCGTTGTCATCATCATCATCATCATCGTCGTCATCATCGTCATCATCATCATCATCATGACGAACACCCCGCCCTCATCATCATCATGAGCATTATCAAGATCGTTATTATCATCATCATCATCATCCCCTAAACCACTTTCATGTGCCTCCATGGCCGGTCATCATCGTCATTATCAGCCCAGCAATCGACCACAAGAGGATGACCGACGTTAATGCCATCAAAACCGCGAGATGAGAATAATAACCCCGCCTTTGAAAAGGTTGAATAAGGCCGCTGTGGGCCACCAATGCCTGAGACCATGGCCCCATGTTGGTTGTTCCATCTGTTGTGTGATCATGCACCGGAGGGACAGATGCAGTCGCCCCCGCAATTGGGCGGATGGCCTCGATGAGAGAAGAAATGGCAGGAGGCTATTACAGGGGGCACCATTGACGAGAAGAAGCTACCCACGCCGAAATGTGGTACGGGGGGCATGTAAAGCGGCGATTCGGAAGGCGGTTCAGTCTACCGGGGTGGCTATGGAGATTGCCAACTGCTCTCCCGCTGAGACGAGGACTGCCGCCATCACTGTCGTGTTCAACTTCAATTGTTCAAGGGAAGCTACCAGCCTTCCAAAGCCTTCTGCTGCATGTCTGTGTGTCTTGCCAGAATGGCGATGATGTCTGTCCTCCCCCGACACAAAGAGTCTGCGAGGTTTGTCATGCTGGATCTCATTTTCTTCGACCTCTTCTTCCTGCTGCTGTCAGGCTCTACACTTGGTAACAACATCGCTCGACCCTCCAAAACCGACAGGCCATCGAACTGGCTGACTTCTCATGCCCCTCTTACTTTCCTGTCTCACCAGTCATTTCTACCATCTTGCCGACTGTCTCCAGAGCGCATATCCTCTGCGCCTCCGCGTGGGGCTTAAAAAAACATAAAATTTGACCCCCAAAGGGCCCAAACCCTAATTTCAGTTTTCGACATGTTACTCAGGAGCTGAAAGTGGAGGTCCCCCCGTTAACCACTTGTGCCTCGATGTACAAGTTCCGATTCACACGTACCTGCCCCCGTTGCTGCAGCTCTCGCTACCATGATCTCGCTCACATCCTCAAAATTTCCGTTTTCCATCCACACATCCACTCCGAACTTTCGACTTCGCCCAGTCAGCTCTCGTAATAACTTCCTGCCGGAGTGCTTTTGATAGGTGTGGATGTTCCTCAAATGCGCGCGCCATATTATTACCAGACCATTTCTTCCTAAGGTTGGTTCAAGTTCATGCCAGAATGCTTCTTAATAGGTATGGACTTTGGTCAATGAGTGAGCCCATATTATTTCCAGACCAGTTCTTTCTCGTCTATCTGCGTCCAATGCCGTCCCTACGGTAGTAGGAAACCTCTGGCGGCGATCTGTTCATCGATTTCCCCTCACGAGATCTTTGTATGCAGTGTTGATCCTGGTGGCAACTACTTCCTCTTCGAATCCTCTTCATGTTTGCAACAAATGAGCTCAAAGACAAGATCTTTCTGCAATGGCGTGCTTCAGGGAACTCTTCCTGACTGCAATCTCGATGCGATGCGGTCTGCCGATGATGCATCCGGCATCAACACTGTAGCCCAAGTCAAAGCCCCACCCACAGTACTCAAAACAGTCCTTTTCATAGTCACAGCTGCAAACGGAGTGCCTTCGGCAGAATCGGTACCCATCAAGGTCTGTGCAAGGATGGACCTTTGCTGCCCAGTATATGGTTTGTCAATCTGCACCGTGCTTGTCTTACATCCACTTCACGTGCACATTTTGTACGGAAATCGAGGCAGGGTTTTGAAAACTGGGGCTGCAACCGGAGAGGGTGGGAACCATCTCTTCCATTGCCAAGTCAAACTGACTCACACTCAGCAAAACCAGAGTCATCTGAATATTCACACATCTCATTGACTATCACAACAACATGCATGCATTGATGAGATGAGAGAGAACAGAGGAGGTTAGGGAGAAGAGACAGCTAAGCAAGAGATCACATACAAATGAGCATCTGGCTAGAGAAGAAAGAGGAAACCAGAAACTCTTCCGCCAGAGCTTGCGTGTCATCCTTGCGCAGGGGCCACACTAATCTTCTCAGTCTGTATCATTCCGATTTTAACGGATGTCCAGAAGGACCATTGTCGCTGTATCTAGACTGAAAGTTTGGACCAAATATGGCTATAATGACCGGGCGTTCTATTCGGGTGAAGATGGTAGCCAACTCTTTTCAGATTCAAATGAATTATGTTGCTATTTATTTCCATTAGAAGTCAAATTGATCATTAAGAGCAAACGGGCTGCACTACCCAGCTGCCCCTTCCCCCCTCCCCTTCTCCCCCACCCCCCACCCCCCCCGCGCATTTCGCAATAACCCTTTGCTTAGCTCAGCAATGCCTCCTGCATTTCCACTTCCCCCAACCCCTTTTCCCCTTCCAAGCTGGGCTCACTATTTTGCCCACATGTATACAATACAGTTAAAGACTTGAGATAATACTTGCACTACCGGTAGCACTTTTCTGAATGTATCCGACTGCAATTACTGCCAAACCTGGATGGATCTGACCACAATCACGTGCAGAGGTCAGTAGAAAAAAGTCCTACTGTGAGTATGCCCTCGGATTTGGACGATTCCAGAGCAGCGGTGTCGAAGAACAGCCTTGCTTGTGACGAGGTGGCTGCACCCAAAGTCCACCAAGAAACAGAGGTTCCAACACAGCCTTGATCCGACATTGACGTCGGTTTGTGCAGAGCCTCCCTTTTTTTTTTTTCTTTTTTTTTTTCAAACAAATCCAGGCTCCGATGTTTTTGTGGGGAGCCTCCTTGATGTTATGCAGAGCTTAATTGACAAACTGCCACACGCCGTCCAAAGGCTGCAGAGGGTATTTAGTTTATAGCCGTTTCATGGAAAACACGCCAGACTCAGAATTGTTTTCCGCATGCCTTCCATGTCAAGCCCTGTAATTCATGGTCAGCGTTTGGGGGCATCCTTACTTGCATTTCAAAGCCCACTTTCTTTGGCCCATTTACGCATGGGACGCATTATGAACTCAACTTGGGGGTTAGTGGTGTTTCTTAACATGTTGATGATCTCCCGCAAGCTCTCCTTCTGTTCCTTACCTGCGATGACCATCTGGAAATTTCCTACGCATGCTCCCCTCTTTCCCTCCCAGTATTCTGGGTTGGGATCCAGGCGCTCGAGAATATCAAATGCCTTGGCCGCGTAGAAGAAGTGACCCATCCGATAGCAATCGTTGGCGATGAGCTGAAGGAGGGCAAACGATTCATCTGACGTGTCCATACGGAGGTACATCTCCCACGCCTTGCGTGGCTTGCCGTTCATGATGTAGCATCGTGAAAGCCAGGACACGTAGCAGTATTCCGTCTTGTATCTTTCGTTGTGGATCAGGAGAAGCGTCTCCTCCGCCTCCTTGTACTCGCCCGTGGCAGCACGAGCAATGCCATAGTTCCAGTTGAAGTCCACGTCGTTGAAGAAGTACGTCTTGACGGACTTGAGGTAGATGAGCACGTCTTCAAACTGCTTGAGCAGGAAAAAGCATGAAGCCATGCATTGCCGCCCTGGTATCGTGTCGCACTCACTTGCCGATGCCCCCACCAGCTGAAAGTATTGTTGGGCCATCTTCAAGTGCTCTGTGGAGTCATGAAGCTGCCCAATTGATGCATGCACAACGCCCTTCAGGATGTACTCCTGCGGGGTTCCCGGCTCAAGATCCTTGATTAGGTTGTAGGCCTCTTGGATATCGTTGCTGCGCAGGTAGTATATGACGAGATTCAGCCGAGCTTCAGGCGGCATATCACTCTCCAACATGGGCGGAAGCACCTGCAGAGCGTTCTCCCCATTCTGAAACACTACTAAGTTGTGCCGGATGAGATCGTTATCTAAATGGTGTTGATGCCCTGTTAGCTGTTGAAGCTGTTTGAGCTCTGCTTCCGCCGCCTTCCCATTGTATAGCCGAAAGTGGTTGCACGCTTTAAGGTTGACGGCAAGCGCACTGTCAGGGTGCGCTTGCAGGTACACTGCGAGTATCTCCAAGCTGACGTCATAGTAATCTAGCTTGCAGTAGCAAAGTGCAACGTATACATTCAGCGCCAGGTAATCCCTATGCTCGAGAAGAAGCCGTTTGTAAATGTCCGTCGCTTCCTGATAGTGAGCTCGATGAAAATGTATGGAGGCCAAGCTTAGTTGATCTTCGGTGGAGTCAGTCAGCTGCTGATGGTACAGCATCAGCTTGGTCTCATCGTTGAATTTATGTGCGAGGTGAAAGAAGATTCGGGTTTGCAGAGGGATGTTCGGTCCTTTCTGGGCTTCCGCCTCTGCCTCCTTGTACTTTGCAAGGTAGAACAAGCATGCCGAGGAATAAGTATGGTACACATCATCTGCATCGGGCATGCCAAGCAATTCCTTGTAGATGGCCAAGGCCTTGTCGTGGGCACCATAATGGAAGTAGCTATAGCCCAGCCACTCCAAAAGTTTCACGTCCTTCTTCCCGGAGAGACGCTTGAACTCGAGAACTGTGACTGCGCCTGTGTAATCTTGTTTACTGATGAATTCTTCAACATCAGGCACACGAGACTTGTCGGAAGTGCGGCCATCTCGCAGATTGCTTTTCTCGGCCTGCAGTGCCAGGCTGGCACGAGATCTCGATAAGATCATGGTCGACAGCCGACGCGATCGTACTGTTCTCCCACTCCACCACCTTCCTTCTCCTCTCTTGCGGCGGGAAAAAATGTTGCTTCTCTGACTCATTCACCCCAGGCTCCCTAGCTACTATGCCTGCCTTACTCACCATCCCCCTCTCTCCTCCCTCCCCCTACTACCTACTACTGCTCCCCCCTCCCTTTTCCTAAGCCACATTGCAGAGTCAAATAGTATGTTCAATGGATATTTAAGCGATTGCGATTCTTAAACCCCTTTCTCCAGTCCTTTAGTAGTCCAAGAGTACGGTGCACACTGCACAGCAATACTAAGTTACCAGCGAAACTTCAATTCACCAAGTCCACAAAGAAAAAAAAAAAATGACATTCATTTTTATACGTAGAATCATAGACACAAGTGGACATGTATTCAGCGGTTTGAAAATTTGAAAACCTGCATGAGCAAGGGCGTGCTGTGGTAGGGGACCGTCCTCACCAGAAGTCCGCTTCTGTCATAGAATGCAACCCATGATGGGATTCCATGCACTGTAGAGGTGCACGGACGATGAGAGAGCCTTCCCAAAGCATGGGCATTGACAGACGCTGTCCCAACATTTAGGACAGCAGAAACAGAGACAGAGACAGAGACAGATGACAGATGACAGATGACAGTCAATCATGGATCCAAAGCACAAGACCAAGACCTTTACAGAGGGAAAAAGCCAAGCCTGAAGCCAGCCTCCAAATAGCCCGACACTAGTCAATACATCATAGCTTTTAGCCAAACAACCTGTAATACTTCTTTCTCTCTCTCTCTCTCTCTCTCTCTCTCTCTCTCTCTCTCTCTCTCTCTCTCTCTCTCTCTCTCTCTCTCTCT